AGAACCTTCAGACTCTATGCTTCACCCCGTTGAAATTGTCATGGAAATGAGATCAGTCAATGTTTTATAATCATTATTTATCCCAAAACACAACTTGCAGTGAGTCCCTGGACTTCCTGTTTCTGGAAACTGGCTACACCTTGCTAACTCTCCAGAAGAGCCCAATGCCTAAGGCAAAATGGTCTCCACTAAGTTGTCCAGGACGTGGTTGCTTGACTTGAAGGTGATTCAGGGAAACCATTTCTTAGAGGCCCAAGGTTCACAATGACAACTCAGGGCACATGACCGGAGTGGATCGCCTCAACTCCAGAGACCAGAAACCTGGATTCCAGGAGGAGGGTTTGCATGTTTTGCACAACATGCTCTTGGAACCAGCGTTCCCACAAAGAGGAATACCTGAGAGAAGTTGTTGTACATGTTCCAAAGGAGTTGTGTAAACTGTTCAGTTTTAGCATTTTGTGTAATAGTGAAACATTTGGAGCAACTTAAAGGTCCATTAATAGAGGAATGGAGAAATAAGCTTTTTATTTATACATGAAATATGAAACAGCCATTGAAAACTGTATTAGAACTGTATTAGAGGTTAAATTCTGAGCAGAGCTCAAGCTCAATGCCATGGTTGGATCTCCTGACTGCTCCTTCCCTGAGCACTGGTTGGAGATCCAAATGAGATAACACTCTGGGCATGGTCCATCTTTTCTCCCTACTGGTCTAGTTGGGAGGATTTTTGTTTTCTTTTTATTAAGTTGTAATCCATATTAGAGTTGCAATCCTTGTTCTTCACCAGCATATCCTTCAAGTTCTCCCCACTTTCGGCAAGCAAGGTGTGTCCTCTGCATATTTCAAGTTGCTAATAAGCAGGTGGTTCACAAGTCTCTAATCCTGACGCCAAGTTCTTCTTCAAGTAGTCCAGCTTCTCTGATTATTTGCTCAACACGCAGAGTGAATAATGTGGTGGGAGGATACAACCCGGAACACACCTTTCTGACTTTAAACCCTAGCGTCGTCCCATGTCCCGTTCACACAAATGACTTGATCCATGTACAGGTCCCACACGAACACAATAAAGTGTTTTGGAACCCTTATTCTTCTCAAGCCTAGCTATAGGTATTTTTAATGAAGCACAGAGTCAAACACCTTTGTGTAGTCAATAAAACACAAGTAAAGATCTCTCTGATATTCACTGCTTTGAGCCATTTGACAACAGCAATGATGTCCCTTATTCCATGTTCTCCTCTGAACCTGCCTGAATTTCTGGATTGGTGATAGTAATTGTGACTTTTGGAGTAGATATCAGAGGTTATTCCTATTAATCCCATTATTTCCTTTCTATGAGGGGATTTCAAAAAGTTCATGAAAAAACAGTGGAATTAAACAATCATAGAATTTTTCCACGAAATTTTTGAAGCCCCCTCGCACACATTGAGGTATTTGCTCCTCCCTGTGTCACCTGTCTGTCAGGCTTCAGTTTTTGTTCTGTGGATTCGGCAACTCTGCTGCACAAGAGCTTTGTAAATGTTAAAAAACATAGATGTCACATGGAAGGATTAAGGAGCACCTGACCCAAGCCATAACATTTTCTTTTTAAAAATAACTTTATTGGGGGCTCATACAACTCTTATCAAAATCCATACATACATACATCGTGTCAAGCACATTTGTACATTTGTTGCCATCATCATTCTCAAAACATTTTCTTTCTACTTGAGCCCTTGGTATCAGCTCCTTATTTCCCCCCCCCTTCCCCCACCCTCCTTCCTTCATAAACCCTTGATAATTTGTAAATTATTATTATTTTTCTCATGTCTTACACTGTCCGATGTCTCCCTTCACCCACTTTCCTGTTGTCTGCCTCCCAGGACGGGGGTTATATATAGATCATTGTAATCCATTCCCCCTCTCTCCCCCACCTTCCTCTTACCCTCCAGGTATCACTACTCTCATTATTGGTTCTGAGAGGTTTATCTGTCCTGGATTACCTGTGTTTCCAGCTCTTATCTGTACAACTATACGTTCTCTTGTCTAGCCGGATTTGTAAGGTAGAACTGGGATCATGATAGTGGGGGGGGGCATTAAAGAACTAGAGGAAAGCCGTATGTTTCGTTAATGTTATATTGCACCCTGAATGGCCCATCTCCTCCCTGCAACCCTTCTGTAAGGGGATGGCCATGCCATTCTCATTTGCTTCATGTGCACGTGAAAGCGGGGCAATGCATAAGGACGATCGAGGAAGAATTGATGCACTTGAATGATGGTGATTGCAAAGAATATGGAAAGTACCGTGGCCTGCCAGAAGGACATTGTCCTGGAGAAGGACATCGTACTTGGTGAGGAAATGGTGTGGGGCATTTTGACCTCCTCTGCCTTCAGTTAGGTGGAAACCAACTCCATAGCTGCTGAAGGATGTTCCTACAAGACAGAGCTCAGGCATGCTTTCCCCTGCCCGCCTTCTGAACTCATGGACTTCAATCAGCCCTCCCACAGCGTTCACTTTCTCGGTTGGGTGTGAGAACCTGTTGCAATGGTCACACAGAACATACGGGCCAGACTCATGATGATGAGGTCTATTCAGGAAGGCAAAAGGTACTAAATGTTAAAGAGCCAGTTCTTTTATCCTCAGACCCTCTTTTCAGTCACACTGATATGCATGTCTCTCTCTGTTCTCTAAACCACACAGACCCTTGGCTTCTTCTGGGCTTGGGCAAGTGTAACAAAGCTTCTTGTGCACTGATAGCTACCCCGAACCATCCTCCTACCCCACGGGCTTCAGCCTTACTTGCTCTTTGAGTCAGGGAGCCCTGGCTCTGTCTCACAGTCGTCGTGTTGCTGCTCTGCTTTGTTTCATGGTGTTGGTGCTGCTGATCCGCTGCCTCTCCACGCAGACAGCTCAGATGCACTTCGGTCCTGGTTCTTCTTTTCGGATGGTTGTGGGATTCTTTGTTCCTGCTTCAGAAATGGCTCAAGGTTAAAACAGATCAATTCCCTTAGTAGAGTCCACATACTCTATTTATACCATTTCACCTAATAATTTGGTGAAAATTACAAGGACTGTGGATAAAAGCTCTCACTGCCAGTAAGCTGACTCTTACCGACTCTTAGCGATCTTATAGGACAAAGCAGAACTGACTGTGAAATTTCTGAGCCTATAAATCATTAAGGGAACAGAAAGCCCCATTTATTTCTCTGTGGAACAGCTGGTGGGTTCAAACTGCTGCTTTCGTGATTAGCAGCCCAACGCATATCCCACTGTGTCACTTATAAGACGATGTCATAGTTGGTGTTGCTTTCTCTTATTACCCATGCGGTCAAGTGGAGTCTAACTCAAATAACTCGATGGCACCGAACGACAAGGTTGGCTAGAGATATGGATTATACCCATATCTATTACCAATACCCATATCTATTACCAAATGATAGTACCATATCATTTCTCCCACTTGATTGGATCTAAGGTCCGCGACAACAACCAAAAAGCATGATCTTTGATAAGACAGACTGACACCGTGTGGCTGCAATCACGAACTCCACCAAAACGATGCTCATTTGGTTGTACATAGGGTCACTGTGAGTTCAAGGACACCTCACAGCTACTTGTCACCCTAAGAGAAGGAATATAAACTCAGGCTCAAGCGAGTCAGGTGGGGTGCCTACCACTGCACAGCTATTAAATAACAGAGCTTTAATTGGATCTGAATCTGTTCCACTTCTGGGCCCAGGGCCCTGCCTATGACCTGAATATTCGTTTAGGGCCCAGAGAGCACCTGCCAGCGTCGCGTCTCTCTATGACTCGGTGAGAAATCCAAAATTGTCTTGACAGAAGACCCTCATCAGAAACCCCTTCAGCAATCATCAGACAATATTTTAATTGAATTGTGACTTTGTGGCCACCTTGCAGAAAACTCCCTTTAGTCATGTTAGGATAAGCAATTCAGATAGCAGTTCTGTTTCCAACCAACCACTGTAAGGTCTCCTCCCTGTAGAGCTGTCTGATCTTGCAGCTTCCGGTCAGAACACCATCTCTTTCTGGATTTCATGTCATCATCGTAGCGCCTCTGTTATTCCACTGCTTTCCACCATCTCCTTTCACTTCGTGAGGCCAGGACTGAACCTGGTTCAAACGACTTTGAACCTGCAACATGTCGCTTCTCTTTTCTTTTGACTGCACACCTGTTGTTCTTCGTGCCAAGTGACTTCCTGTGTCTGAACCTCTGTTTCCTTTCCTCAAAACCTCAGCATCTAGTGCTTTCCTGGTTTCTCCTCTTCTCCCTGACCCCCCCCCCCACCAACTCCCCCTGAACCCCACTACCGTCTCTTTAGACCAAAATAAACAAGCAAATAAACCAGTGGTTGAGGAGTGATTCTAGCTCCTGGAGATCTGTGTGCTGCTGAGGGCAACTACACTTCGTAGCATTTCCATGGTTGTGACTTTTGGAAAAAGTGATTCCCAGGGGGCCCTTCTTTCAAGGAGCTTCAGGATGGGTTTGAAATGCCAACTGCTCACTTGGCAGCCAAGTGCTTAATCATCTGTGTTACCCAGAGACTTCTACCCCAGCTGCAGGCGCTTCCGAATGAAAGCCGCCTGATTCTTCAAGGCCTGTCCGGCAGGGTCCATTCCCCCGGTCCGCAGAGCAAGGCGCAGGGGTCCGGTTCGGAACAGAGTGAAAAGTGCATATTTGAATATATTCGCTTCCCTCCCTGCCTTCAGGGCCTTAAGACTTAGTGGAGATCAAATGTAGATAAGGTTTGGGGAGGAGGAGTTCTGGATTAGCTTTTGCTTTTATAAAATATCTCCAACACGCAGAAAAAAAAACCAAACAAACTAATAAACACTCTTAACCCACCATCTGGTTCTATGAATGCTAATTTTTTTTTTGCCATAATTGCTTCAGATGTTTTTGTTTTTGTTGTTTTAATGAAAACATCCCGTTCAAGTTTCTGGAGACGCTCTCTGAGCAAGCTCTCCACATCTTGATCCCCTTTCTCCGCCCAGGGAGTCAGGGTGATACAGGGGTGAAAGTGCTCAGCTGATAAATAGAAGATTGGGGATTCACAACTTTCAGCTGCTTTGCCAGAGAACAAGAACGCAGTCCGTTCCATGAAGATGTACTGCCCACGTGGGGCAGTTTACTCTGCGCAACAGAATCGACTCAAGTCTAGTGGAGCTTTGCTTGGTTAGTGGCATGCATTATTCCTGACCAGATCTTCATGGTAAGTAATGCTAATTTTAATCATGCAACATCATTTATTTGAAATTGTACATCAATGGATCGTTCTGAAATGTCCTCTTTTTGGTTCCACAGTGATTGTGTGATTTATCCAGGTTACTAAATGTAGCTTGGTAATATTTATTAAGGACAAAGACAAACAAAGACACATCGTCTGCACGAGGGAAATCATTAACACAGGTCATAATGCCATCCAATGATTTGCTTAGATTCGTGGACTTTAGAAGGACCTGAGAGGGCAAAGGAAAATATCACAAAAGCATGACTGGAGGCAGAGCAATACTTCACGGTTATAGGTAAGACTACAGAAGCCACAACAGGACTATGATTGGGACACATATTAGACAGAGGAGCTCACAAGATTTCTCCAGGGGCTCCCAATCAAGACAGTCATGACTAAGCACCTTAGAAAGACAGTCTCTGTCAAGGACACAGGCGCCATGGTGGCATAGTGGTTAAGCATTGGGCTGCTAACTGCAAAGTCAGCAGTTCAAAACCACCAGTGAGACTTTCTATTCCAGTAAAGAGTTACAGGATCCAGAATCCACAGGGACAGCTGTACTCTGTCCTACAGGGTTGCTATGAGCTGACAAAGATGCAAACAAAGGCTGGGTTTGAGTAATTTTTGATCAAGGACACACTCAGGCATGACCCCAAGGGAGACTGCCCCTCCTTGTGTTAGGAGGTAATAATCTACTTCCCACTTTGACCGAGGGGCAGACTGTTCACATCCTTACTTCATGTTGTTGTTGTGAGGTGCCGTTGAGTAGGTTTTAACCCAGAACAACCCTAAGCACAACACAACAAACCCTCCATGGACACAGAAATATGGATCTCAGGAGAATGAAAACAATTCGTCACAACCTGCCCTCACTTCCAGCATTGCATCCATTTAAAAAACATCTCAGTTGATCTTCTGTCCATATTTGGAATCTTGTCTTTGACTAATATTTTAGTGCAATTTAAGCGACTTCATTTTGCACCAAGAGGCTGTAGGCTATGCTGTGTCTCTGCCAGTTTAGCACAGGTTACAGGTGCAGAATGAGTCTGTAGGATACCGAGGTGCAGGGGAGTCAAGTGGCATTCCCATTGGCATGGTGAGGGTGCCAGTGCCTGTCTTTACTGTGGTGGCAGACTGGCCTTTCATGAGAGATCAGCAACAGCTTTGGAAAGCTTGCCTTTCTCCAACTGAAGACACACTCTCTTGCAAACCTGCTTTCCCTCCTACTGACATCCTTTCCTCTCTGCCCAGTCCACATATGACTTAAAGTGACAAATCCCACCCAGAGCCTTGCTGTCCAAAATAGGCTCCTCACCCTCAGATTCTAATGGGACAGTAAAGGCATCCTCTTCAGAAAGGCCAAGAGGAACTTTTCTCAGAACAATGAAAAGGCAGATGAATGACTAAACCCATCAGCTTCTACCTAAAGAGGGAAAGGTCCAGCCTTCCTATTACCATGAGAAATACCTTTTTCCTTAGCTGGCATGCACGGAAGGAAAACAAAATAAGATTTTTCACTTTAAAAAAAAAAGTCATTTTATTGGAAGCTCTTACAGATGTTATAATAATTCAATTAGATCAACCATAATTAGTTTTGCCTTAGTAATCTTTTTAGACCAGCGTAAGTTCATTCATATACTTAAGATTGTTGGGCACATGACATCCAAGGTAGATTAAACCCTTCAAAACAATAAAGGTAGTAATGATTTCCTGAGGGTATGGGAAGAGAGGAGTCGGGAAGCAGGGAAAGGGAAACTGAGAGCAATGATGGCTGTATAACCCCACTGGAGGGGAATGGATAACAGAATTGTAGGTGAATGAACACATTGGATGATGTAAGGTACAGCAATAATAATAATAATAATAATATATGCCATAATAATAAGGGTTCCTGTGGGGTAGGGTTGGGGAGGGAGGGCATAAAGGGGAGCTGTTATCCATGATTTCAAGAAGGATTTTATTCTTTAAGATTTTCTTTATGAATTTTTTTGTGTCCTTCATTTAATTTCTTTCAAACTACATACCTGATTGCCTAAATTGAATAGAGACTGATGAGAGGAACATTTTTACAACAACACAAAGCATATATGTTAGAGATGAAACAGCTACTATCTTCTAGGTTTCTTACCTGAGGGACCATCTTCATTGAAGAATTTGAAGAGATGTTTTAGAGCATGTACAAAGGAAATGCGCCTTAAAAGAAGATGCCCAACTTGAGTCATTACAAATAGAAAAAAAACAAAGCAAAAAACAAACCTGAAACAACCAATCAGAAATTTTGGATGAACATTTCTCTCTTTCTTTTAATAAATCACTGGGGGCTCTTATAGTTTTTATAATAATCCACACATCAATTGTATCAAGCACATTTGTACCTATATCGCCGTCATTATTTTCAAAAGTTTCTTTCTACTTGAGCCCTTGATATCAGCTCCTCTTTTGACCTGCCCTCCCCCATCCTCGTACCCTGTAACCCCTTGATGTATTATTATTATTTTCATATCTTACGTTATCTGCTGTCTCCCTTCATTCACGTTTCTGTTGTTCATCCCCCTCATGAAGGGGGGACATTAAACATCATTGTGATTGGTTTCCCCTTTCCCCTCTTTTTCTCCCCCCCCCCCTACTCTAGTGGTATCACTACTCCCCTTATTGTTCCTGAAGGGTTTATCTGTCCTGGATTCTTTGTGAGTTTTTATCTGCACCAGTGTACATGTTCTGGTCTAGCCAGATGTATAAGGTAGAACTGGGGTCATGGTAGTGGCAGGAAGGAAGCATTAGAGAACTAGAGGAATGTAGTTTGTTTCGTCAGGAACATTTCTTTTTGTTATCTGTGTGGTGCAGTTGAAGTACAGTGGCATAATCCAGTTCTGCTCAAGGCAATCTGCTCAGAAGATATTGTGTTAAAAAGAGAAATCTTACAATTTTCTCGGCTACCCCAGTGACATTTCTGGTACCCTACAGTCCTCTTTAATGACTATCTGAAATGACTTTGGTTTGGGGTATGTCAATGGCCCCCACATCCATCTAGAGAAAACACTCTAAATGGAAAAACAGATAATGCCTCCCAAGTGGTCACTCAGCTCTCTAGGTGGTCTGTCCATCTTTTTGACTTCTAGTAACCATCAAAGTCTGAAAGAAGGGACTCTCCCTTTGGCAGGATGGGCATAACATTAGCTCTCTTTCTGGTCTTAGTTATGATGATAGAGTTCAGATTGCTAATTTGTTTGTTTTGTTTCTCCACCAAAGGCTCTAACCACTGGTTATGCCTTTATAATGAGGTAGTTAGTTTATTTTGCCAACCTGGCCGATAAACATATGTGGGGTTACCTGAAGGGCAGAGGGATAAATGGCTCAATGATCATTGTCTTTCTAGTTCTCAGGTCTCTTGCTTTCTGATGGTCGGACCAGGGTGCAGCTGCCTTAGCCAGTTCCCTGTTTTAGCTGGCAAGGCTCACTTCTTGCAAGACATCCCTGAGGAGAAGCCACATGAACCTACCCCGATGCAGCCCTGGGTGCTGCAGCAGCCATGTGGAGACCCCTGCCAGCGCTGAGAAGCTTACACATTCACTGACTCGGCTTTCCTCCTGCAGTTGGTGTCATTGTGTCTGTTTTGTGAGATGGAGGAGGACTTTTTGGATTGGTGTTGGACGTATGGGTTAATGGGTTAATGTTTGACTTGTGGGCTTGGGCAGCACTGCTTTGAGATGTTTTCTTGATGTGTACTTAACCTTTATATAGAACTCTCTCTTATACTATGACTTTCTGTGGATTTGTTTCTCTAAAGTGCCCAGACTAACACAAATAACAAATAGTTTAGTTTTGTAGAGGGAAAAAAATCTCAATGTCAAGAAATGGAGAAAGAAATTTCTATATTCTGAAAAATCTCTCCAGTTTCTTTTTGGGGTACTCCCTTGAATATATATTTCTAACAATTCTACTAGGTTCATCCAGAAGAGAAAGGATTTGTTTTTTGAGTATCTTTTAAATAAGATAAGGCATCTAGCTGCCTGCTATCTGATTCTCATACCCAGATCTTGTTTTCTCGTCCTTCTCAGCAGAATATCTTCTCCTAGGCTTTCAGTTCAAAACTTTCTTAGATTCCTGGGACGTGAGAACTCAAGCAGGCAGCAGAAGTTTCTGACCAGGGGCAAGCATTCCCATTCATTGACATGGGGACAGGCTTTCTTTGTCTGCTTCTAACCATTTGCACACTATTCACTATAAACACAAGAATACAGTTAGCCTCGTACAGGGTTCTTCAGACTATGGGTCATGACCCATTAGTGATCTTGAACTCAATTTCGATAGTTACAGTGAACATTTAAAGAGCGATTCAGGATCCGATTGAGTAGAATAAAAAATATCAAAGTCCATTCTCATTATGAAGCTCAACATTGTTTTGTGAATATGTACACACAGAGACATTTGTTCTGGGTGATGCTGAAAGTGTATTTCTGATGATGTGTCACAGTTAGAATTAAACAATGACAGGCCTCGGACAGGGGTCTGCAAACACCTGTTTTTGTGAGCAAAGTACATTGGAGCACAGTCCGGCTCTGTGTGCCGTCTGATGGTTGTTCCACACCATAATAGCTTCACTGAGTAGTTGTGACATGTGTGAGGGCTGCAAAGTCTCAATTATTTACTATTTGATTTAGTTCATTACAGGGGAAAAAAAATCGCCGGTCCCAGGTTGGAGATAGGAAAGCAACCACTTGTAATACAAAGTCAAATAAAGCTTTTATGATGTCTAACGTCCAGAAGTTTGACCTTTAATATTACTCCACCAGTAACCATATGCTTACTAATGTATAGATCCATGTGAATGCATATATCACTGTGGAAACATGCATAAAACAGAAGCAACCCCCGCGTGGGAAACGAGGGCTATTCCCATGCCATGCTCTACTAATGGAAGGTGAACACAATGACTTTCCATTCCAGGACAAGAGTTTGATGTTAACCTCGTTGCACCCAACCAGACGTTTCCTTGTACAGCTTTTCAAGGGAAATATTTCAGTCCTGCATTCATCTTAGGGGGCACGTGTCTTATCCAAGCTAAATATTTCCAGAAAATAAATGTCTAGACACCATCTCATATAAATTAAGCACCCGGTTTTTAAAAGATGCCAGGCAGACCTCCTTTTCGGTGCATGTGCGAGTCCAATTTTACCCCTGTGGACAATCCTGGGAAAACCTGATGTGCCTAAGTGAGTGGCCCCGGAGGAGCGAATGAGTGCTGCTCAGCCATTAGTGGACAGTGTATGTGAGCATGCAGATTTCCTGTGTGTGTCTTTCCAGGGATCAGGGGGTGGGACGACAAGATGCAAGGAATCTAGGAAAGTAAGTCAGAGTACTGCTACAAAAGAGCGGAAACTTCATTAACCCAAAGTACTCAAATGTGAAGCTACTGTTCCAGAGCTATCTGCCCACTAGGAGCCCTTCCACAAAGAATCCCGTGTTCTTCAGTGTATACCACATCAAAACATCTGGTTTGAGAATGACGAAGGCAACAAACACACAAATGTGCTTGACACAGTGGATGGGTGGATGGATTGTGATAAGAGTTGTATAAGTCCCCAATAAAATGCTTTTTAAAATCCTCAGCACAACTTTTCTCAGCCTTTTAATCAATTCCGTTTGCATTTTCCTTAAGACTTCTTCTTAATAAGCCCCTGTGATCATCCTGTGTCATTTGAGAAAGTCTGTCATGGATTACTCCTTTGTGTGCTCCCCAAATCATTGCCATCACCTTTTAAACTCACCTCTCCTTACATTTAACTGGCCCAGCAGATCCCTTGGGAAGTCATCATTACGATTGTACCTATTTTTAAAGACACTCTAATGATAGTAAGAAAAGTGTACTACTGAGAGAACTTGTACAGAGCCATCCAATAATTGCAGAGACATATTTAAATATGTTTGGTTGGAGATAAATCTGTGCAGGTATGATCTGGAAACTTACTAGCAATTCTTTTTGACTTAACTTCAACTTAACTTATTTTGATTTTCCCTAAAGTCATCACTTATAAAGATCTTGTACGAAGAATGACACATATGTTGAGGTCCACTAAGAAAGGCTTCCCACATTTATCGAGTGCTCTCATCAGTAAATAACGGGCATATGTGTTCATTGCTTTATGAGCAAATTCTGTTAATGTCTCTTTGGCTTTGTATTTTCTTCATATTTAAGGTTGTTCAGAAAGAGGCTTGTGTAATTCAAATGAGTCATTTTTAGTGTTTTCATATTATATTTTCTTTTATGTGCACTTCTTTATCATTCTGATGTAAATTTCACTCAAAATAGTTTTTTGAAAGATCAAAAATTGCTGGGACATGTACACATTAGCTACTGTTATTGTTGTGAAGAAAATAATTTCATAGGGAAGAATACGTAATGAAGTATATTAAACCACCTGAAGTTGTTTGGAGAGATCATTCAAGAAGTAGTTATTGTTTATCTTTTCCTAGACTTTTGCAAAATCATGCGCAGCGCACTATCCTTTATGGGGAAAATACAGTAGAGAATTGACTAAGTGGAGAGGAGCAACCAATATATGTAAACAGACTTTATCCGACAGCCCTTAAACATGAAACAAATGCACCTGGCATTCAATGAGCACATAATGGATATTTGCTATGTGTCAGGCACTGAGCCAAGTGTGGAAACAGAAACAGCACGGACCGTGCTTTAAAGGGACTTCCAGTGCAGAGGGATGGGCTAGGAAGAAAGCCTAGAACATAAACAAGACCATTTCAGATCGTGGAAACACGTTTGCAGAACAATCCCATTATCTTTTACTGTCTTCCCACAGCTTTTTGAACCCCCCTCGTGTGAGGGATATAGTGAGTGCAGATCATGTACCGGGAAAGAGGGCACTTCTGTCGGGCTAATCTCGGAAGACCGCTCCAGAGAAGTCCGTCCTGTGGGTCCTGAGGGGAGACTGAAGTTCAGCTTGCTTTGAGAGCTTCTGGCCTGAAGAACCTCTGGAGCACTCTTTGTGAACGCAGTCTTCCCTCTTAAAAAGCTCTTAGAAATAAAGGTATGTAGCCAAGTGTGTTTTAGAAATTGATGAGGCTAATGATGATGCCTGGTATTTTTGGCTTAGCTGGTATTTCTCAGTCGCTTCCAATTAGGTGACTGACTGACATTCACCTACTGGGCTTCTTTGAATTCTCAGTATGAGAGATTATAGGGGATTGGATTTTCAAAGATGGTCGCAGTAATACGTCCCACCTCAAGTGCTCTGGAATTGCCATTCTCCTTAAGGCTCTTCATAGTTTGTTATGACCCACACAGTTAAATGCCCTTGCATAGTCAATAAAACCCGAGTAAAGATCTGTCTGGGTATTATCTGCTTTCAGTCAAAATCCATCCAAAGGTATCACTTGTTTCATGTCCTCTTCTGAATCCTGCTGGAATTTCTGCAAGCTCACTGCCAATGCCTGCTCTGGAACGGTCATGCTCTGGAGGACAACATGAAAGCCAACAGGGAGAGGACCCAGGTACTTGGATGCTGGTTTGGCTTTCTACCAGGAAATACTGAGCATGAGCGGAGACCCGTAGGACCTACATGCTTTTATGATCAGTTGTGGGCACGAGTGGTCTCTTCAGGGTACACATGATCCCACACGATCCTACAACTAGGCTAAACCAATCAACCTGGTTTTGCTTTCAGATCCCATGTCCTTCATCACCACGTTGTTTAGGCAGTAAGAATGTTTAAACAGGCAACGTGGACTAAAAAAGGCAGGTGGTTCTACTCTTGCTCAATCTTCACAGGTAGAAAGTCAAGTCAGCCTTTGGGTGCCTGTGTCCTCTACTTGCTGGCTTTCATGTTGCCCTCCAGTGTATGAGCTCTCCTGCACTTGACCTCGTCCACCGTAGACAAGTATCAGCTTCATAAACACCAACCAGACTAAGTACGTGCCATTCTTTGAAAGTGGTCTGCGAAGATCCCCCTCCACATGTTTCTCTAGCTATTGCTGACCCTGCTCAAAGCCCGCACTCTAAGGAGTCTCCCTCTTTGAGAAGGACTCTGTTATGAATCCCTTCACATTTTGGTGCTAAATTTAGAAATTCTACATTAGCATTTGCAAATTAATGGTGTCATCTCTGGAGTTATGCTGCCGAATTCAAATCCTCACTCAACAACTTATAAGAAGATGGGCCATGAATACATTCATTAACATTTCTAAGCTTCAGTTTCCTCCTCGGTCAAATGAGAGTGATGATAGCAGTACATGTTTCTTAAAGATACCATGAGAATTAGGTGAATTCATTTTTGAAAACACTTCAAACAGCCCCTGGCTCATTGCACGCACTGTAATGTAGGTATTCTTATCTTTCAAAGACATAGTTCACAAATATAAATGTACAACATATATATCGATGCATACATATCC